TAGTTTTCCCCTGGTCGGGTCTAGTTTTTCCCCTGGTCGGGTTTAGTTTTTCCTGTGGTCGGGTCTAGTTTATCCCTGCTCGGAGCAAGTTTTCCTCTGGTCGGGTCTTTTCCATGGTCGGACCTCGTTTTCCTCAGGTCGGGTATATTTTTCCCCTGGTCGGGTCTAGTTTTTCCCTTGATCGGGTCTAGTTTTCCATGTGGTCGGGCCTAGTTTTTCACTGGTCGGACCTAGTTTTCCCATGCTCGGGTCTAGTCGGGTATATTTTTCCCCTGGTCGGGTCTAGTTTTTCTCTGGTCGGACCTAGTTTCCTGTGGTCGGGTCTAGTTTTCCCCTGGTCGGGCCTAGTTTTTCCCCTGGTCGGGCCTAAATTCCCCTGTGGTCGATCCTAGTTTTTCCCTGGTCGGACCTAGTTTTCCTCCGCTCGGCTCTCGTTTTTCCCTGGCGGGACCTAGTTTTCCCCTGCGCGGGTCTATTTTTCCCCTGGTCGGGTATAGTTTTTCCCTGGTCGGACCTAGTTTTCCTCCGGTCGGGTCTAGTTTCCCCTGGTCGGGTCTAGTTTTTTCCCCTGGTTGGGCCTCGTTTTCCCTGTGGTCGGGCCTAGTTTTTCCCTGGTCGGATCTAGATATAGTTTTCCTCTGCTGGGGTTTAGTTTTTCCCTGGCCGGACCTAGTTTTCCTCTGGTCGGGTATATTTTTCCTCTTGTCGGGTCTGGTTTTTCCCTGGTCGGATCTAGTTTTCCTCTGGTCGGGTCTAGTTTTCCCCTGGTCGGATTTCGTTTTTCCCCTGGTCGGGTCTAGTTTTCCCCGTGGTCGGGCTTAGTTTTTCCCTGGTCGGACCTAGTTGTCCTTTGGTCGGGTCTAGTTTTTCCCTGGTCGGACCTAGCTTTCCTCTGGTCGGGTATATTTTTCCCGTGGCCGGGTCAAATTTTTCCTTGGTCGGTCCTAGTTTTCCTCTGGTCGGGTGTAATTTTCTCCTGGTCGGGCCTAGGTTTTCCCCTGGTCGGGCCTAGTTTTCCCTGTAGTCGGGCCTTGTTTTTCCCTGGTCGGATCTAGTTTTCCTCTGGTCGGGTCTAGTTTTCCCCTGGTCGGATCTAGTTTTCCTCTGGTCGGGCCTATTTGTCCCTGTGGTTGGGCCTGGTTTTTCCCTGGTCGGACATAGTTTTCCTCTGCTCGGGCCTAGTTTTTCCCTGGTTGGACCTAGTTTTCCTCTGGTCGGGCTTATTTTTTCCCCTGGTCGGGTCTAGTTTTTACATGGTCGGACCGAATTTTCCTCTGGTCGGGTCTAGTTTTTCCCCTGGTCGGGTCTAGTTTTTCCCTTGGTCGGGTCTAGTTTTCCCCGTGGTCGGGCTTAGTTTTTCCCTGGTCTGCCCTAGTTTTCCTCTGGTCGGATCTAGTTTTCCCATGCTCGGGTCTAGTTTTCCCTGTGGTCGGGCATAGTTTTGCCCTGGTCGGGTCTAGTGTTCCCTGTGGTCGGGCCTAGTTTTTCCTTGGTCGGATCTAGTTTTCCTTTGCTGCGGTTTAATTTTTTACTCTGGCCGGACCTAATTTTCCTCTGGTCGGGTCTAGTTTTTCCCTGGTCGGACCTAGTTTTCCCATGCTCGGGTCTAGTTTTCCCTGTGGTCGGGTCTGGTTTCCCCGTGGTCGGGTCTAGTTTTTCCCCTGGTCGGGTCTAGTTTTCCCTGTGGTCGGGTCTCGTTTTTCCCTGGTCGGACCTAGTTTTCCTCTGGTCGGGCCTAGTGTTCCCCTGGTCGGGTCTAGTTTTTCCCCTGGTCGGATCTAGTTTTCCCTGTGGTCGGGCCTAGTTTTTCCCTGGTCGGACCTAGTTTTCCTCTGCGCGGGTCTAGTTTTTCCCTGGTCGGATCTAGTTTTCCGCTGGTCGGGCCTATGTTTCCTGTGGTCGGGCCTAGTTTTTCCCCGGTCGGATCTAGTTTTCCTCTAGTCGGGTCTAGTTTTCCCCTGGTCGGGTTTAGTTTTTCCCCTGGTCGGGCCTAGTTTTTTCCCCTGGTCGGTTCTAGTTTTCCCTGTTGTCGGGCTTAGTTTTTTCCTGGTCGGACCTAGCCTCGTGTCTGGTTTGAAAAAGACAGCATGACAATTAGATCGACTACTTCAATACAGAATTCGAAGGCTGCGCCGTCCTCCACACACATGCTTTGTAGCATCTATTCAGGTAAATTATCAACCACTACTCCAGCCCCATCTGGGTCCGCGGAGCTTCGTCCGGCTGCCTAACAGCGTTGTTGATACGTTCCCAAACCGTTGGGTGCTGTCTCTCTCTCTCTCTCTCTCTCTCTCTCTCTCTCTGTATTTGCCAACCGCCTCTGACGGTCGCGGGTGCCCGTCCCCGTCCCCCCCCTCTTTTCGCCAATTCCCGAATTCCCGCACCCAATAAATACTTTCCGGATGCTCCCCCAGGCTGTCCCGCCCGCCCGAGCCCGCTGCGGAGGTCCACCTTCGACCTCCCGCAGCCCCCTCGTCGCTGCTGTGCACCAAGGTGCGCCCTCTCCCTCTCGCTCTCCTCTTCTTCCTTTCTTCCGCTCCCCTCCCTGTCGCCCCTCCTTCCCTCCAGCCGCCATGGCGGCCGCCTGCGCTGCCAACTCGACTCGACGGCAAACTTTGAGCTCCGGTCTCGTGCCTGCCCGGCAGTCGCTTCGCCGCGCTGCTCTTCGACAAGGCCTGCACCCTGGCCTTGCGCCCTACTTGGCACGGCCGCCGCACTCAGGAGGCCACCGCAGAAGCCTGGCCACGCCTTGCTCGCCAATCTGCCCCGACCTCCGCAGGGCCTGGCTCCCCCGACGCCCTTCTGCCCGCCGCGTCCGGTGACGGCCGTGCCTTCCGATGGCCCCAAGCGCTGCCTTCCCCTCGGCAACCTGCGCCGTGCGGAGCCAGTGCGTGTATCGGCTTCCGGTGCCTGAGGCTGCCTGCGCTGATGGGCCTGTTTTCCACCACCACCATGAATTGGAGGGGGAGGGAGGAGGACGACGGGGAGGAGGAGGAGGAGGAGGAGGAGGAGGAGGAGGAGGAGGAGGAGGAGGAGGAGGAGGAGGAGGAGGATGAGGAGAGGAGGAGGAGGAGGAGGAGGAGGAGGAGGAGGAGGAGGAGGACAACCCCCTCCCCCTCCAACTTGTGGTGGTGGTGGTGGTGGTGGTGGTGGTGGGAAACAGGCCCATCATGCGCGCACTGCGGCCGCCTTCCTCTATTCCATTTTCTCAATGTGCCAACATCCTGGCGCGGCCCGCCAGCGATTTCAACGCATTAGCGACCGTTCTCGCTGCCGACCCCAAAAATATAGCGAATCTCATCGAAGGTACCAATACGGTGCTGCCACACCCTCACGGTCGCAAATTGCATAACCATCATCCGAATATCGATGGTTTCAGTTCCTGCTGGCAATGGGGCCCGAATTTGTCTAGGCATGATCAGAGGCTCGGCAAAACAGGGTGAGCATGAGGGAGTCTCTCTGCTCGCCCTGGTGACAACATTGCTTTTCCACTGGGGCGACGAAAAGAAGCGGGTCTTACGCGAGATGGCACAGCGACCTCACGGTGGCTTACGCGGGCCGCCAGCGCGGCACCCACATTGGAAGCGAGGGCGCTGACGCGCGACCTTGCGCGGGCAACTTACGCGAGAACGTCCGCGCAAATGACTCCGTCGTTCTGCGTCGTTTACTTGGTTTTGATGACACGGCATACCACTATCGTACGAAGGACACACACTTTCGCAAGTGCCGTGAGCCGATAACAGCTCAAGCATGCGGGCACGACAAGCATGATCGAACGGTCCCGCGCCGTCGAATGCACCCTCCCTTCCCCACGGGATCCTCCAGAGACGCTCGGGGACCTTCGGGAGCAATTGGAGGCACTGGAAAACTCAGTATCGCAAATGAATCCTCAGGCTTCGAGGCGGATCCATCGGTGACCCACCTAGTGGCACCCAAAGACAACAAGACAAACCATCGTAAACATCGCCCCTCCTCCTACTTCGACTATCCATTTCCTTCTCCCCCACATGCTCCCTCATCTTGCCACCTTCGTCGTCGTCCTCTCTCCATCTCTTCCCCTCCTCCTCCTCCTCCTCCTCCTCCTCCTCCTCCTCCTCTCCTATCCTCTTTAACTCCTCTTTCTCCCCCCTTCACCCCCCCTCGTCCACCTGCTGCTACTGCCTCTGCTTCCCCTCCTCCTCCTCCTCCTCCTCCTCCTCCCTCCTCCCTCCTCCTCCTCCTCCTCCTCCTCCTCCTCCTCCTCCTCCTCCTCCTCCTCCTCCTCCTCCTCCTCCTCCTCCTCCTCCTCCTCCTCCTCCTCCTCCCCTCCTCCTCCTCCTCCTCCTCCTCCTGCTCTCGCCCGCCCCCCTTCCGTCCCCCCCCTCGCCTGCTCCCTGTCACCTCCTACCCTCACCCTTCCCGCAAGAGCGCGTGCGGGCCGCGCGGGCCGCGCGGTTTTCATAGGGGTCGGCCGCTGCGCGGGGGGTCTGGGGGGGCCCGCCGAGGAGGTAGGGATGGGGAGAAGAAGGAGGTAGAGAGGGTGGGGATGGGGAACGACATGGAGGGAGGCACCACGGCATAAACAAAAACTTTGGTCGGCCCGCGCGGATTTGTTTGATGTGCGCGCGGGAGTCCCTCGCTGGCGCGCGGAGCGCGCAAGTTTTCTGTTATGTTCCTTCTTCTCCTCAATGAGAAAGGGTTTGGGGAAAGGGGCAGGGGAGGGAGAGTGGGGAGCACAGCCAGTAGAACGTGTTGCTGGTCGGTCTTCCGACTAGGTGCTGGGTGAACTTGTCCGCGCTAGCTCGGGGTGAGGCGCGCCCGGTAAAGCTTGTGCCGAGGAGGAGGCGAGGAGGCGAGGAGGAGGAGGACGAGGAGGAGGAGGAGAAGGAGGAGGAGGAGGGGGAGGAAGAGGAGGAGGCGAGGAGGAGGAGGAGGAGGAGGAGGAGGAGGAGGAGGAGGAGGAGGGGGAGAAGGAGGAGGCGAGAGGAAAAGGATGCATCGGGGGACAAACCCCTCTTGAGCGCTGAATGGGCCATATCCCCCCTCTGCTGGCGCGCGACGCGCCAGCGTCCGCGGGACATGGTGCGCCTAGCGCCCACGGAACCGAGGAGGAGAACGCAACCGCCGCAGGAAGAAAGACGCAGACGATGGCGAAGGCGACGACGACGATGACGAGCTGCGGCGGCGGCCGACGAATGGGCGACGGTCGACGAACGACTAGCGAGCGACAACGAGCGAGGGCGAGAGAGGACGAGCGACCGACGAGCGATCGACGCGCGGTGGGCGGGCGACCCGAGGGGGACGGCAACGCGCCCGTGCGGCGGCTCAGCCGGCGGCCACGGGGCGGAAGGGCGAGGCGCCGAAGGGGTGCCTGGGCGCGGCCCGTGGCGTGGCCCCCTCCCTGGAGGAGGGAGGCGGGGGGAGGGGGAGGGGAGAGGAGGGCGAGGGGTGGGTGGAGGAGGCGGGGGGGGAGGAAGGGCGGGGCGCGAGGGAGGAGGGAGGGGAGAGGAGGGGGGAGGAAGGGGCGAGGTGCGCACCAGTTCGGGCGGTAGCTCGACCAGGCTCCGCAGCCACAAATGCCGTGCAGGCCTGCCCCACAAAACGGGAGGCGCCGCATACGATCAGGACTGGGAACATAGCCGTGGAACGGTCTTTCGTTTTGCTGCTACCCCTGCACTTTGTCGGCGGGGATGAAAACTTGTCCCTTTTCTTCCTCCTCCTGCTCCTCTCCGTCCTTCTCCTCCCGCTCCTCCACCGCCTCCTCGCCGTCCGCCTGCTCCTCCTCGCCCCCATGTTCCTCCATTGATTCCTTTCACTACTACTACCACTACAACAATCACTACGACTACGACTACGACTACGACTACGACTACGACTACGACTACGACTACGACTACGACTACGACTACGACTACTACTACTACTACTACTACTACTACTACTACTACTACTACTACTACTACTACTACTCCTACTCCTACTACGACTACGACTACCACTACTACTACTACTACTACTACTACTACTACTCATACTACTACTACTACTACTGCTACGTCTAATACTACTACTACTACTACTACTACTACTACTACTACTACTACTACTACTACTTCTTCTACTTTTACTTTTACTACTAAGCTACGGGTACGATGCAACGGCGACTACTACTACTACTACTACTACTACTACTCCTACGACTACTACTACTACTATTACTACTACTACTACTACTACTACTACTACTACTACTACGACTACTACTACCACTGCGGCGACTACGACTGCGACTGCGGCTACGGCTACGGCTGCGACTACGACTACGACTACGACTACTACTAGTAGTACAACTGTTACTACTACTACGACGACGGCGACGACTACTACTACTACGACGACGACGGCGACGGCGACGCCTACTACTACGATTACTACTACTGCTACAACTGCTACGGCTACGACTACTACTACACTGCTACGACTACTGCTACGACGTCTACTACAACTATGACTGTTGACGCCTACCACTAATACTACTACTACTACTACTACTACTACTACTGCTACTACTACGGAGACCACTACTGCTACAACTGCTACGGCTACTCCTAGCACTAGTGGTGCTAGTAGAAGTAGTGGTAGCAATAGAAATAGTAGTCGTACTGCGACTTCTACAGCCACTACTTCACAGACTGGTACCACTATCGCTGCTACCACTACTGCTACTGCTACTGCTACTACCGCTGCCACTACTACCACCACTACCACTACTACTACTACTACCACTACTACTACTACTACTACTACTACTACTACTACTACTACTACTACTACTACTACTACTACTACTACGGCTACTACACCACTACTGCTACTACGACCTACTACTACAACGGCGGCGACTAGTACTACTACTACTACGGCTGCAACTATTTCTGCTGCTGCTACTACTTCTACTACTACTACTACTACTACTACTACTACTACTACTACTACTACTACTACTACTACTACTACTACTACTACCACTACTACTACTGCGACGACTACGGCGACTCCTGCAACTACTACGACTACTACTACTGGCACTTCAACTACTACTAGTACTGCTGCTACTGTTTGCTACTGTTGCTACTACTACTACAACTACTGCTACGGCGACCACGGCTGCGACTACGCCTACGTCTACGACTATGGCCACGACAACGACGACGACTACTACTACTACTACTACTACTACTACTACTACTACTAGTACTACAGCTTCTGCTCGTTCTAACGCTACTGACACTTCTAGTGCGACTGCGGCTACATCTGCTGCAACGACTGCTGCTTCTACTGCGACTTCTGCTTGTATTACGACGACTACTACCGCTACCACTACCACTACTGCTACTGCTACTGCTGCTACTACCACTACTGCTGCTACTACTACTACTACTACTACTACTACCACGACTCGTACCACTACTACTACTACTACTACTACTACTACTACTACTACTGCTACTACTACTAGTACTACTACTACTACTAGCACTACTACTACAACAACTGCTACGACTACGACTAGTGCTACGACTACGACTACGACTACTACTACCACGGCTGTCTTCATTACTACTTCTACGTCTTCTTCTTCTACTACTACTACTACTACTACCGCTGCCACTACTACTACTACTACCACCGCTACTACTAGTACCAACGCCAATTCTTCTACTACTACTACGACGATGGCCACTACTACAGCAACAACTGCTACTACTGCTCCTACTGCTACTACTACTACAACTTTAACTACGGCTGCCACTATGCTTACTACTACAGATAGTACAACAACGCTTACTACCACCACCATTACTACGACTACTACTACTATCACTACCACTGCTACTCCTATTATTATTGCTACTGCTGTTACTACTGCTACGACTACTTCTACTACTACGGCTACTACGTCCACTACTACTACTCCAACGACTATTAC